TTTTTTTTTTTTTTTCATTACTTTTTTTGTTCAGCCGTGTATATGGGTAACTCGAGGTACACATCAAACACGCGTCATTCAAGAAATCGTACATAAGTATAGACATTGCATGGTGCACATTACCTGTGTACATGTTTGCGCGACACTATTGTTTTTTCCTCTCCATACAGTCACATCCTCCTCTGGCGTTTATTCTTCTCATTCCGCGCTGTATACGCACCGTTATTGCCACCGCAGGGCTCCGAATCGTGTATAACATACTCGATACTCACACCACACGTTTCACAATGATTGCATGTGTGCTTGCATGAGGCCTTTTTTTTTTTTTTTATTTGCACAGCCGATGACGAAGATTGCAAAACTGTCGCGACCGTATTACTTAGTAATCAAAGGTTTCATTGGCTTTATCTCTTTGTAAGAATCCATACCGAGGAACACGCGCCAATCATGTAAGCGCAATTACAACCGCGCGGTTGATTGTTGGATAAAAAAAAAATAAATAAAATATATACGCTCGTCCAGCTTTTGATACCCACAAGGCTTTTTTTTCTATTTGTAAGCATGTTTTGGTGCGTTTGATTGGTTTACTCGATATCAATTGAATTCAATAAACAACAACAACAACAAAAATCGGTAGTTTGAAAATCCAATGTTTGGGGTGTTTTTTGTTGAGCGGCAAAAGTTAAACAATTGAGATAAAAGGTACATCAATTGAAAAACACATCGAGTTTCCATGCGCCTCTGCGAGTGTAATTAGCAGTCGGGACCCTCTAACGCGAGATTACGAGCGAGAGACCCACTGGTAGTCTGCAGCGGTGAAATTAAAAAATTAATCGATTCCCCCATGGGTAGACAGACGGGATGTGGAAACTCCGAACCAGAAAAGAGGTCGATTAGCAATTTCGTAGCCGAAATGAAGGGGAAATGGATGCCGGCGTGACGCGGTTTTCGGGAGGGCGTTTTCTCGTACCGCACGTCCGACGGGGATCGCGGTATTATTTGACAGATCGGGTAATGGACCGAGTGATGTAGCAGTGGCCTTTTTTTGGAGAGGCTTGTGAGTTTTGTACGAACGAATTCATCAAAATCTTGCTCATTTTTCGTTTCGGGACAGATGCACCAACGCGATCTATATATATATATATACATGGGCTCGGAGAGTACACGAGTACAGCTGAGTTTGATTACCTCATGATACTTTATTAACCACCAACATTGAGTTTTTTTTTTCATGTCTACTACTTTTGTTTATCGATGGCTTTTTAAGTACACCAACTCCGACATCTTATGAATTTTTATGAACAAAAAAAATTTCCGTGGGATTTTCATCATGAGACTTTCATTACTAGTCATTAGCGTTGCGTAGCACAATGGAAAGATGTACAAAGCATCATTTTTTTGAAAATAAAAAAAGAAGTAAAAATTCTCTTTTTGAGTACGGCCTGTTATTAATTTTGGCGTAATACCCTACGTTTCACATTGAGAGGTATAAGCCGATGCACAGCATCTTGTACGTTTTTTCGAATATCCCTTTGTAAGAATTTTCAAACTATTATCCGGAACGTAAAATTTTTCTTTTTTAATGCTACGTGATAGTGTATAGTACTGTACAAAAGGTTAGTCGCAAATGTTAATTTTGTTTTAATTAGATAATTTTAAGAAAGCTTCCATAAATCAAAATTTTTTATTCGAATTTGCAAAGTTTTCAAATAAATTTATAAAAAATGAAATCGACGCTTTATCAAATAATGAATCATCGCTGCAAATTATTTTGGAATGAAAAACAGTCATGAACAAAAATATCGGGATTCTGTAGACATCCTGTTGTATAAATTTTAGAGTAAATAGTTGTACCACTAGCTTTATTATATCAATATTGTTAAAATAAATAAATAAATCGACTGGATGAATGTAGTTGAGTACTTACTTGATGAAACGGCGGTATAATGAATGTAAAAGTATAATGTTCTCGTGTTCTTGACTTAATAAATATAAAAAAACAACAACATGGTTGATTGTTTCAATGGTAAAAGATATATATATATTGTTAATACAATGTAACACCGACCTCCTTTGGGATGTAAATAATTTTGTAAAAAAGAGAAAGTAAAAAAAAATAATAATAATCATCCTGTTTGGAGAAACGCGTCATCCTTTCAACAATACATCCATCCACTCTGTATACCGTAAAAACACAAAAAAAAAAAAAAAAAAAAAACGCCATTCACCAAATGCCGTGAGGATCGTTGTTCTTTGAATGTTTCTGCTCATCGACCGCTTTGCTAGTCTCCGCGCACTTTGGCGCCTCGTAGTCCCAGCACAGGCCAACATTGGGCCTGTCGGTGCAGAAGCACAAGGTGCAGCCTTCGAAAGAAAAAGTCCGTGGCTCGCACGCGATGTAGCCTACATTGAAAAAGGAAATTGTGTCATAGATTATACGTTACAAGCAATCACGAGCGTGCGATTGTGCGTTTATGGCACCTACTCTGGTAAGGTTCGACAGACGAACCGATGCCATTGGTACTATTCATCTGTTTGAGACTATTCGTTTGCAACGATGGCTCGTCTGAAAATAAAATCACCATACATTATCTTTGCTCTGAATAAAGTATTCATATAGTCACTCGGAAAAACTTATTCCCAGTGTACGTATACTAATCTCACCAAAGATTTTATCTCAACTCCATACTATTGTATAGTATATACGGACATAAACATTGTAAGATCGTATCGGCGCGAAATCCTGACAAGCATCAATCAGTCCGACCCGGAAGCAAAGTCCGCGGCCTTGAGTGACTTTTTGGTACGACTTTGAGGCGAAAGGCGCAATAACACGGCAACCCTGAGTACAATTAAGATGTGTGTTATGTGATAAAAGCATCTAAAAGGTGACCACGCGCGAGCCGGTTGTATTTTTAAAAGTGTCGAGCTCTCGGTGTTTTTCTATTTTTTAGCGCACGGGACACGGGCACAACCCGAAAGTATGTATTAATCGGTCTTACGTAAGCGTTGAAAAATACTCTTTTGTCGAGTCTTTGGCGACTATCAAATCGACAAGTGTCGTCCTACAACCATCTTTTTTACCCACTCTAAGGTTTGTAAACGTGTTTTCACTTAGCCGTTTAATCTAAGCACTCTTAAATTATTCTTTTTTTTTTTTTAACAATTGTTTGAACAGTTCTTGAAAAACAACTGTACCAAGGCAAGAAAAGTTTACGTATTTAAAAAATATCTTATTCATTTTGGTATTTCCGCTCTCGTGCCACACTTCACAAAGAAAACGGCTTATTTATTATCAAATGAGCAAAGAGTCATAAAATGTTGATCGGTGTCTCGAAAAAACATTGAAAAACAAAGCCTCACCTGTGTTGTAATGATCATAGTAATCATGACTCCTCGCCCCGAGTTCTTTTTTCAGAAGAGGGTATCCACGGCCCGCAGTCCCGTCAACTGCAACAGGTTTACCGTAACGTAACTGAACGGTCATACCGAGAGATCGATAAATAAGTAAAAAAAAAAAAAAAAAAAAAAAAAAAACTTACGAAAGACCAGCAGGACCGCGAGGAGGATGGCGCCGCGTTCGCGAGCCGCAGCGAATGAGCTCGATCCTTTCATCTTGAAGTCCAAGTGAGCTCTGAACGATGGTGTGCGGTGCACGCGGCGTTTGTTGACGCGTTGACGGTCAAGGCCCGCGCGCTTATGCCGATAACCGACCGACTTCTTTTCGCTTTACTTTGCACAACCGTGTATGACATCCTGATGGGTGTACATGTATACTTGTTGCGCGAAAAAGTATTATGAATTGCCGTGTATGCATAAATATATGTCCATTGGGCACTTGACAATAAACACCTGTGTAATGTAGAAAAAAAAATTTATCTCTCTTTCTTTCTTTTGTTGTCAGCATCGGTTGTACTCCGTGACAATACTTACTTATTTTCTTTCGTGTATATCCTTGAACTGTATAGGTGATAGTTTGATGGAAAAGAAGTCGAGTGGTGGGTACAAACCAGTTTTCGAGCGGCACATAACTCTAAAAATAGACGCTTCACGAATTATCTTGTATAAATAAGAGTCTAATTGGTATAAGCCCATTTTGTGTGGAAAAAAAAAACAAAAACATCTTCTTAATTTAAAGGAATTTTGTGAGAAAAAGTAAATGTTTGACTAGTTGAACAATATAAATCAAATCACAGTGAACAGTTTACACTGTTTTCACAGCTTGAAAAGTTTAATTTTTTTTCTTTTTTTTTTTAATAATTCGATGTATGTATACTAAAAAACAAAGAAAATTATTTAGACGGATCACCTCGCACTTTCTGTATTTAAAATTATTCAATAAGGTGATAAAATTTTCTCACGCTAATGGAATTTTTCTCTCGGAAATTTCGAGCTCGCAATAATAACTTCCGGCACCAAAATTGAAGTCAAGGGGTGTAGGGTATATACTTGTGTCACATGAACATCAATTTTATGGAAATTCTCTTGCATTCTCATTTTGCTCGTAAGTGGCCTCGATTTTAGTTAGTACACCCGAAACTACTTACATATAGAGTATAGCTTTACAGTTTTTACACATTTAAGTGCCATTAGGACCTCAAAAACGCGTAATGTTTTTTATTCGCAAAAGCTCGGACTATTCCTCTACTACGTCCAAATCTCTTCCTTGGCAACGGCATATTTAAGAAAGATTGAAAAATAACCAAAGCCAGCATTCCTAAAAAATTTGCTCCAAACAAAAGTCTCCGCAACTCACGATACCTCTGATTGGCCCACTTGCTCTCTCCAATCGGCCGTTTGAGAGCCTCGGCAGCAAAGCGCCGTTACCGCGGATGCAAAGGCTGCCCTCGTCCCTGAAGGGGCACGCCGAGAGTGCAAAGATCTTCGAATTCGGCGGTCGGAAAAACTTTTCCACTCGCGGCGCTCTTCGCTGCCCTGCCTCGCGGAAAATCCTACGAGAATGCACTCGCCCCACCGAACTTGCCGCGGATTTGCCGCTATACTCGTTACTGCTCGTTTTTTTTTTTTTTTTTTCCTTTTCAATCCTATAGAGTAGGTATTTCACTCTTAAAATGTATTTTATGCCTAGAGTCGCAAATGAAGAAAAAATTTTCTTTCCCGAAAGCTTTGGTGGACGTTTATCTCAAATCCGATCGGGATACGTTGACTTTAATGACATTTCAATATTTTAGGTTTTTCTTACCAAAGCAGCACAACTCGAGGATTTTGTCCAAGTATATATACGGTATGAGATGTAATCATGCCCACATTATTTCCTATTGACATCGAGCACCGTGTATACATACCTATATATGCTTACGGAGCCGGAGAATAAAAGTTGAAAGCTCATTGGTATTGATTGCACTGCGGATGAAAGCGCATAGCTTGGCCCGATAAGCCAAACAATAGCGTCTCAATCACGAATGTCACGGCTCGGTGTATATACATTACATCCGTTCATGTTACATGAGTCACGTGTATACACTCTTGGTAGTGTGTAACCGGGCACTATGCTATGTGTATATTTATTATACGCGTACTGTCGCGTACCATATTACTTATACACACGTATATGTATATAGGCGCACACGCGCGCCGAGATGAAGTTCTCTCTCGCGGGTGGGGGATACACACATTTAAGAGTTGATACGCACTGATTCCCATTTAGTTGACAACCTGTGGTGTTTTCGTCCATATTATTGTGTACTGTATTTTACTCACCTGCCAGTACGCGTACTTGTACGCATTTATGAGATGAAGCGTTGGGTTGTCCCGTGAGTATACAGTTTTGTTAAGTACATATTTATGAGTAATTCAATAATGTGGCATTGTTATAGTTTGGAAAAGATTTTTTTTTTTTTTTCACTCGTTGAAAATGGCTCGTTGGATTTCTTCGTGTTTACAAATGATTTACAAGTACCGCGATTTTGGAGTAAATGATTGGATAAATGTTTGATCGATTGTGTTTAATGAATCGAAACGCCCTTACTTTGCATGGATAGGGAAACGATCAAAAACGTACAAGTTCTGTTATTTCGTTTTAAGCGAAAAGTGTGCCACGACAAGAAAATAATACCCACGCGTATACATTTGGTAATTAGCGTGTCACGTGCGTACACGATAATGCTTACGGTTCCCGTTTTGCTGCGCAGTTTCGTTAAAAACTGAGAGAAAAAACGCGTTCTGGACATTTGCCGATCGTGACACACAACGCGCACACGCCATTCGTAACATACATTTGGTACGAATTTTGCATTCGTGTCATTATAGTATCTGTGTCAAATATATTTATCGCGTTCGCATCTCCGAAATACGTACGGGTTCCCGCAGCGTGGACCAATAATGAATTCAACATTATCTCACAACAATCACACATAAATCGGTTATCCAAAGTCGAGTTTTTATATA